AAATATAAAAAATAGTGTGTGTGCGCGTGTGTTTGTGTGTGTGTATGTGTATGTGTGTGTGTGTGTGTGCGCGTGTCTGTTTTTATTAAAATATGTGTACATAACTTAAAGTAGGTTTTCACAATTTTCATAGTCGTATTCTTTTAGCCAATTTAAAATAGCTTGTTTTACTTGGTAACTTTTTAAGTTATTCAACTTATTTTTTTTATTAATTGTATTATATAAATGAGGTTCTTGGTAGTCATATTGCCTTTTCGCAAATGCGCTTTTCACTAGTGGTACTAAACGTAGTGATTATTTTCTCTTTGAATGGTACTGGATATTTTTGTGTTCTTTTGTTTTTAGCTACATATAGTGGGGAAAAATTATGATATCGTTTTATGCATTTGTATATATACGATTTTCGTACACTGAGGACATTTGACAATTCGTAAACTTTAGATATTGGGTATGTATAAGGAAGATGTAATATTAGTTTTAGTATAGATCTTTGAGCTCGCTCGGCCTCAATAAGATATGTTTTTGTAGCTCCACCCCATGAGCAGATGCAATAATTTATGAGACAATGACAAAGGGCGTTATATGTCTGAATTAGCAGTTTTTTTTTGTTTATTCGCTACAGTTCTTAGGTTCTTAAATACTATAGTGAGTCTCCGAATTCGTTTAGATATATTTGATATATGAGGTTGCCAATTTAATCTTTATAAAAGCTTTTATAGTATGAAGAGCACCTCCCGCCCTCCCTCAATTGCGTGCACTATCCCCGTCACCACTAATTCCAGCATAGCTACTCCCAACACCACTACACTAGGCAAGACACACCACTGACGATAATACGATACGTGTTTCGCCTCTACACGAGGCATCCTCAGGTGATATAGACTCTACGGTGGCTAACCGCTAATTTAATCTTTCGTCGAGGATTACCTCAAGGTATTTTATCGTAGATGTTCGTTCTAATATTGTACATTTACATCTCTCTTTTTTTTGGAACGTGTTACAAGGGTACGTATGCATGGTGACAGAGAAGCTGTGGGGTGGTTTTGAGATTATTGTTTTGTAAAAACATATATATTTCGTTTTTGAACAATTGGCGGTTAAAATATTGTTTTCCAGCCATTTTGTAACCATACGTAATCCATTTTCAGCACATTGCTGCCCAGTATCCCAGTCTGTACCATTAAAGAGGATTACAGTATCGTCCGCAAACATAAAAAGGTCCGCACTACAGATATTAATTTTGCATAATTCATTTAAGTACGTCAAAAAAAGTGTTGGTCCAAGAATGCTACCCTGTGGAATGCCATAGGTACATTCGGCTCTATCGCTTAGCTCGTCGTCAACACGTAATATTTGGGTTCTGTTTTTAAGGTTTTCGAGACATCCGAGAAGTATAGGAATAGACACAGTATCGAACGCTTTTTGCAAGTCTAAGAAAACGCAGATGCACTTATCACCTTTGTCTACATAAGATATTATTTTCGAAATCAGTTGTAAAATAGCGTCTTCTGTTGAACGATGTGCCCTAAAACCAAATTGATTCGCAGTTAGATATCCATAACGCTCTAGATATTTTATAAGTCTGTTGTTCACAAGCTTCTCAATTATTTTTGAAAAAGTAGGTAACAAAGAAATCGGCCTGTAATTCGAAGGAACGGACTTATCACCAAATTTGAATATTGGTGTTACTAAGGCCTGCTTGAATGGTGATGGAAATTGCCCTGTCTGAAAACTACTGTAATAGATAGATGTGCTATAGGTGCGCAAAGAATATGACTATACCTTTCAACGAAATTAGTAATAATTTTGTCCCAGCCAGGGGAACTATTTGATTTAAGTTCGTTAATAGTAGTTTTTACTTCCTCAGGATCTGTTAAGAAAAAAGCCATCGAATGTGTTGGACCTGTCTGTTTGAAATTATCAGCAAGTTCTGAGACTGATTTGCCTATGGTGTTCAGAGTATAATTGGCAAGCTCTGAACCAATTGTTGTGAAATAGGTGTTTACTAGATTAAGTGAAGCTTTTGGCGTATCTTTAATTTTTAACACTTCTGTTGTCGGTTGTTTTGATTGGCTTAGATTACAAACTTCTTTAAATATCTTCCATGTCTTTCTAACGTTTCCAGTACTGGTAATAAGTTCTTGTTCGTAATACTGTCTTTTTAACTTTTTTATTAGGTCATTACATGTGTTTCTGTATTTCCTATAGTGTGATGCTAAATCTTCATTATTATTATCCTTTTTTAATTTTTTATGTAATTTGTCCCTTTTTCTTATCGATCTTAGAACTCCTGGTGTTATCCAGGGTTTTAATGGCCTATTTCTTTTAGATATAGTTATTCTGGTTGTATTAAATATTTTATAATATTTACAATATACTCTGCAGCTTCATTGACATTGTCGATTCTATAATATTCTTCCCAGTTATGCTTATTCATACCTACAGTTATTTTGTCAAAGTCAATTTTTACTTTATAAAATTTTGATTTATTTTTACTAATTTTTACTCTGTCAATAAGTAATAAAATAGGGTGATGGTCAGTAAATTCATCAAAAACAATAGATGTAATCCCATGTTGGGCTCGTACCATAAAATGATCTAAGCACGCTTCCTTCCTTGTTGGAATATAAACGCATTGTTTTAAGCCATGCATAGAGAGCATATTGAGGTATTCGGTAGAATATCATTTTATAGTACAAGGCATAACATCTAAGTTTAGATCTCCAGTTAAGACTACGATACTTGTGTTTATGCTATGAAGTATTTTATCAAGTGATGTGATATACTGCGTTGGATTGCGAAAACTTGGTGGTCTATATGTACAGATAACCGTGGTATCTGTATCGACATTGAGTATTAGCACATTGCCATCATTGATTAATGGTTCATATGATGTGACGTTTATATTATTTTTAACGTATGCTACCACACCGTCATTCTGGTTAAATAAACGTTTAGTATAGTATGATGTGTAGGTGTCTATTTCCGGTATTATGAAATCATCTTTTAACCAACATTCAGTAAAAACTACAATGTCTATATTAATATTCAATTGTGACATGAAAACTAGAAAAGCGTCTAAATTACAATTGAGACTTCTTATATTAACACATAATACACAAAAGGAAGACAAGTTTTTATCATCAAAGTTTTTTACATCCCTACAAAGGTACTTGACTAGCTCAGTAGGAATTGACAAGCTCATACACCTTACCCCGTTTACTAGGTCAATCTCATCAATGATAGTTTCACTAGGAAGATAGAATTTTAAAAGTATTTATTTTTTTATGACTTATTATCAGTGATGCTTGGGGATATCCTTGAATATATGGCATATATTGACATATTATTTTAATTGAGTTGTAATAAGTTATTATTTTTCTAACAGACGTATATATGTGAATAAAAAAACGTGTATTTGTGTAGGTTTTAGGTGTAAAATTGTTATGTGTAAGTGTTGCTTTTGTGATATTTATTGTATGAATTATGTGTGTGTACATGTTTTTTATTGTGTTGTGTTACTTATGACTAACAGCAAAATTATATAATAAGAATAATTATAAAAGTAGGTTCGGTAAAAATAATAAAATAGAAAGTTAATTATTTTCAAGTTACATCGATAGTGAAAATCTAGTCATTTTTGCGTTTTTCATTTTAAAAAATCCGATTCCGATTCTATACGTATTGTTGGCGAGCTCTTTTCTCTGCGTAGAAATACCCTTCCATATGTTGTCCAGCAAAATTTAATTTTTTCTTGAGTAGCAAATTCTCTAGCCAAATAGAATAATTTTTAGTGCTGAGATTTTCCGAAATATAAATTGGTCTTGGGCCCTCCAATACCCAGATGTTCAGTGCTCAATTTGTTGTGCTTATTTTCTTTATTGAAGGTTTTAACTGATTTGAGTAAACTCTCTTTGACTATATATGATGTAAATTCAACAATTACAGGCTTATTCGTGGTCTTAGAATTTGTAAATATAAGTCCAAATTTGTAAAGAATCGTTTTCCTGATAATCGTGCTAATGTGTCATCAATATGAGGTAAAGGAAATCTTTCCTTAACCGTTATTGTATTAATATCTCTATAATCTACGCATAACCGATAATCACAATTTTTTTCGCACATGGACAATACCTATATTATTTTACCTTCAAGCAACTCTTTCATTTTTTTAGCTACAATATCCCTATCCGTATAAGCTAACCTTTCTAAGCTTTCTATTTATTGGTTTATCTGTAGTTAAATTTATGTGCATCACTCCCAAACTAGTGAGGCCTATTTCAGCTGCAGAGCTAGCACAACTGTCACCATAATCACGAAGTAAACAAAATAATCTATCTTTGAAGCAATCCTCTAAACAACCAACATTTATTTCGGAATATTTAATACCGCCCACAATGTCACTTTCCTTCGTCACCTTTGATACGTTATCAAAGAAAATATTTTTGAACTCACCTCAGCCATCTCCTCACATCTCTCCGCTTGTGTCACAACCTCCTATTTTCCACATAAATGGCTCTACACCAGCATTGCACAGACCTTCAAATAACCGGTACCATTCCGAATATCCATACTAGCGATTGCATAGTCTACCTTACCCATACTATGCTATTTCTCTCATTTACACCTTCTACCAATACTTTAACTAACGTAACTCCAACTGGCACCTCTGTATCCTCAAATACTCTAACTCTAAATCGGCTCGCTTCTTCGGCAATATCTAATGCACTTAGGTTTCTCTCAGGACATGATGTCATAAATAACTTTACTCCATTCTTTGTAACGTTAAGCTTTATTCCTTCGTTGTTAATAATAGGTTGTCCTATTATAAGTGCAACATTTCCAAAATCAATATTAGCAATAACTACAGTCGTTTCCATTTCAACATCGTCGACAGAAAGGGTAAATCAGACTTCTCCACTAGCTCGTGCTTGTCCAGTGAATCCTTTTAATAAAATATTTGTATGTTTTATTTGTAATTTGATCGCTTTCGCAGCATCTTACGCCATCACATTTAATTCACTACCCGTGTCCGAATATGCTCTCAAAAATACCCCATTTACTCGTGCAGTCTTTTTATATGCATCATTTAATTGTGACATAATTTGGATCTTTTTTTTGTCTTGTGTATTTTCAGGAAGCTTACAATTAGGTGCAACATGACCGCTCTCATTGCACCTATAACAGATTTGTGGTGATCGACTTGTGCCAGTATCTTTTATGTAGCTTACTATATCTGAAGTTCGCGTATTTGTTGGCTTACTACTTATAGCCCGTACAGACGTATCATTGATAGTAGTACTTTGATAATTATCGAAAGCAGACAAAAAATCTTCGTATAATTCATCCGGGTTAGAACACTGAAAAGCTTGAGCATTAGTCTGCAATTCTTGTGGTAAGCCTCTAATAATACATGACACAGATGCTTTTTCGCTTAACTGACATCTGTAACACATAGCTAGTTTTTCTTGAAAATACTTTGTCATTGTTTCAGTGTTCATCTTTTTACGATTCATTAGTTCATCCAGTAAAGATGCATAATCATGATGCCCAGGGAAAGCTTTAGTTAACATTATTTTCCATTTGTCCCATGTATGATTGTATGAATCAAGACGATTAAACCAGTTTCGCGCCTGACCTTGTAATTTTGATTGTAAAAAGATTTTAAATCGTCACTCCAAGTATAAACGTCACCTAATTGCTCAATTTTCTTTATCCAGGTTTGAACATTTACGTCTTTATTTTCTGGGTCGAATTCAGGAATAAGATTTTCGGTTTTATATTATCCTTTAGATGTTGACTCTGTTATATCGTTTTTAATACTTCTTATAGCTTACCTCTACTTTTCTATCAATTAAAGATTTTATTGCTTCACTATAAGATTGTGCTTCCTCATTTACGTCCTGTTCACTTGATGCTAATCTCCTACGCTTAGATTTTATATGCGTGCCACCATATTTAAAATTTCGCCTCATATTATTTTTCCGTGCGGCTTACTATCACACTTCTGAACTGTAAAGGAGTAATTTACTTTTCAAATGAAATAAACAACTTTTGGCTTTCTATAATTAAATTTTAATATATTTGTAAAAATATGCAAAGTCCATGAAACACAAATTTTACAACCCAACGAAAATGCCGCATCACGTGACACCTTTCCGATACAACCTCTTTTATCTTTATTGCAAATTATCGTAACAAGTTTTAGAAATCTATATTAGAACTTCTCTCTTTTTGGATATTTAAATCCTATTAACCGAAACAATGCCTCGAGAAAATTAGTTTATATTACTCGTACAAGTAGGTAGCAGTAAAAAAGTTTATGGAAAACTTAAATAAATATAATATGTTGCAAAATTTTGTTAGCCACGTACATTACATTAATCTGTCAACGTGACAAAATGGCAGCGTTACTCGGTCAAGTATCGACTGCGTTCCATTTATTTTCAAGTTCATAATGGTTAAGCGGAAGTTTTATTGTTATATTTCTTTATTGTAACCCCAAGTGAAAGCTGAGGTCAGGGTTTGCTTTAAGTGAAAATAAAAAAGTAACAAAGAAACTGAGAGTGTTGATGCTGGCAAGATTGGTGGACAATCGAAGCAGATACAGATGAAATTTATAATACGTTTGTGTTGACTTCATTGGATAATTCTCTTTCATTCAAATTTAACCAAGACTTTAATTTTCAAAATATATTTATATTCCAGTTACTCTGAAATGACAAACTCACCTCCACACTACTTTTTGCTACTCCAGCTATCGATGATGACTCTATCTATAGCTGCTGTGAGTACCAAATTATATAATATTTATAGGATCATCACCCTGAGCCAAGCTTAGAGGTTTTGTCGAAATCGTCTAGCTGTACAGTGATTTTTTTAAAATTCGTTTTTCATAAATTTCTTTATGTAATTAATTTTAACTTCGTAAAAGATTCAAAATATATGCGAACTGCTTGTGAGCTATTACATTAGCATACTGTTCTTTTCCCTCACAGTTATGATGGACATCAACATAAGTCCGTAATGTAACTAATCATTTACTTCGGTCTTTGATTTAACATATAATGTCGTAGCGGATCTCCCTTATACTAACCATAATTCTCCACTTTTTAACATGAATGAGCTCTCCTCCTTAGGACTCATTTTATCTAACGGTTGTTATATTTCAATTGGGAGATATTGGTTAACATAGTGTTTTCCTTAAATTAATAAAATTTACTCACGTTCTAGGAATTTCTTTATATCGTGGAGGGGTTATACTTATTTCTAGAGTAGTTAACGGGTATAGTAGCAAATAATATACAGTGCAAGTATTTATTGTGTTGTGTTATTGCACACACCAATTATTAAAAAATCTTACGAATAGTTCGAATAGATATATACTAGCTGTGCCTCGCGGTTTCACCCGCGTCATCACGTGAACGAGATGCGCGGCATGACGTGACACCTAGTTCAAGCATTTTATAATTGCAATCAAATATTTTATTTGATAGTAATGGATGGAAAAATTAATGGAGTACTTTTATTTTATCTGTCGGCATATTATGTATGATGTAGAGCGAATATATATAGAGCGAAGTTAAGTTTTATCTACTTTCAAGCCTCCCCGGGGTTCCAGAAAGTGTGCCGAAGCGCGGTTTTTTCCAGTTTTAAAGAAAAACGTACACGATACATGAAAAAAGTGTAGGCATGAAATGATTCTTGATAAATTTGATATCAACCTCTTATACTTATTAATCAATTAAACTTTCAAAATACCATAGCAACGTGATATGAAAGAGTTCAGGAATAAAGATGTAACTAATAATTGTTACGCTCACCCGGGAGATAGATAAAAGTACTCAATTAATTTTGAATTTATACTCTAATGATGGAACTAACCTCGCTTACAGAAGCTTTCAATACTGGCTTCTCTCAGTTCTCACTGGGCGGCTAGGATTTATTATGCGTCTTACGCGCGTCAAGCCAAGTATTGAATTACATTGTCACTTAAACTACGCGTCCAAATAACATGGTATAAAGAACAAAGTTTGTCTTCATAAAATTGTCTTGATGATGAAGTAACTTTTGTTCGTAAGGATAAATATGCCATGCCTAATAATAACGCTCATATATCACATTTTAATTTTCAATTTTTTTTATAGGATAGGGTGACAAACGAGCACACAGTCCACCTGATGGTAAGTGGTTACTGTGACCCATAGACATCTATCCTTAATAAAGACTCAAGATGCAGATACATTGTCACCCGTGAGGACTAAGACGGAATGCCTCTTTGCCAGTAAAATAGCCAATTGTGGCTTATATATAAGAAATAGACATATGGTATCGTGGATTTTTTTTAGACGGAGTAAAGATCTATATTTTTCTAGAACATTGTATTTACGTATCCCTAACCATAACGCTTTTTCTTTTGACTTGCTTAAAAATATCTATATTTAAGGCTAGCTGCCGGCTAGGCTAATGCTATATATCCTATACTATTTAACATGGATCTGGCTATAATATCCAAAAATATTTTTCAAATCGGACTGGTAGTTCCAGAGATTAGCACGTTTAAACAAACAAAAAAACTCTTCCGCTTTATTATTTTAGTATATATACATATTGTAAAAGTGACTTACTGTATTTTTGGCGATATATTGAAGATGGGCCAAATTAAGCCTTTAACCGACTAGTATGTATTCATATGCATAGGTATGTGAATGTAAAGGTGGGGAGAGAGGCGCTTCAGAAACGTGCCAAATGTAAAGTCCGTAGTCTCTCCCTGGAGTCGTAGTCAGTAGGCATGCAAGTTTATGTATGTATGCATTTTAAATAATCCAAATTAGAATTTTTATATAAAGTATAATTTTCTTTCTTTGATCATGAATCTCCTCGATCACATCAGCACGCTATTGCATTTTCTAGATTAATGTCAAATATGCAACAAAAACAAACTCCTTTAAAGTAATTCTCTGTTAAATTATTAATTATTCTTGTTACATTATAGTACTTCTAATTAACCTAAGGGTTAACTGATAGAAGTGTCAAAGTATAATTTATCCACCAAAACTAAGTATACTTTATGTTTTCATAAGAATAAGAATAAATAAATAGCAATGGCAGAAAAATAGTTGACAAAAATTATAGCGTCTAGAAATAAGTTATATATAAAATGAGTTTTATTATTTTTCTATGATTTTTCAAACAAAAATGTATTTTAATTAAAGCCACAGAAAAAAACAAACATTTTTGGGAATATCAAATGACTTATTATCATTTTACTCTATTCAAATGTTGCCATTTAGTATATTCATACTATTTTCGTATACACTTTGTAAAACTACCAACACAACACACAAAATATTTTTATATTAAGTTATTATGAGTAATAACTGTACTATCAGTAATAACAAAAATAAAAGTGATATGGCTGAGAATAAGTCTCTTACAAAGAATTTCCTCCAATAATACATTATCTCAATCATAGTACTATGTAACAATTCCATTTAATGTTATGCCAACACTAGGTAAAATAAAATGTCACTGTTTTTTTTTACTGGCTTTACGGCTCTGGGTTCTAGCCCTTCTGATAATGTCACTATGGTACAAAATCCCTGGAGCCATGCTAGAAATATACATTTATAGTATGCAAATATATAATAGTGATATAATAATCTAAAAACTCTCAATTATGTATTACGTGTTAAGCTAACATCAAACAACCACAGGTAGCATGACTTTTTCCAAGTGACATAGGACATAACCTAAAAAGGTTCAAACGTAAATATCTTTTTTTTGACGCCTTCTCAGTACAAAATTTTTTGACAGAGTTATTAAGGGACTGACGCTTAACATTTTAAGATATTTTTGATATATAGACGCTACCTTTTCTTCTCAACTAATTTTATGTATGAAAGTCTGCCATTGCTCTTTCAAGAAAGATGAAAAAAAAAATGTTCACCGTGCTTTTGTGTTCACCTTTAAAATAGCTAGAGCCACACTCTAGCTATTCTAAGGCTGCAACGCGAATGGGTCGGCTCCGAGTCGGACCGAGGAAGGACCATGCTTTCACAGAATACCACCATAAAATAGCAGCTTAATGCTGCTGTGTTTAGTATGGTGAGTGTAGAGAAAATAGAGACCCATTTTACTGGTAACAATGCATCTAGATATTGGTGTCGGTGTCTATGGGCCACACCATCCACTTATCATCAGCTGAACTGTGTGCTCGTTTGTCACCTTTCATTATTACATACATACACATATATAATCACGCCTCTTTCCCGTAGGGGTAGACAGAGGCCACTTCTTTCCACTTGCTACGATCCTTACATACTTGTTTCGCTTCATCCACTTTCATTATTCCCTTCAAACATGCTCTTCGGTTTAGGGTACTCTTGACCTGGCCTTTTTTCAAGATGTCCCTGATTTGATCTAAAAACGTTCGCCTAGGTCTACCCCTTCCAACACTTTCATTCACACTCGCCTTATACACCTTTTTCGTCAAACGTTCTTCATTCATTCTCTCGACATGGCCAAACCAGCTCAAAAAATCATTACAGCCCAGCAAATATAAGCATCGTAT